AAGTAATAAAAATTACCAACAATAATTTTTTGTAAAGAAAAAAAAAATTACCAACTATACATTTTTCTAAAGAAAATTACTAATGCTCCCAAGAAATTTAAATTTCGATATTAAATGATCCATAAGGTGTTGATATGTCGCTAAATGAATAAAACATTGACGAGGAGGTTCCCTATATTTTTTTCTTTTTTTGGATTAAAACACTGATAATTGCATATATTATAGTGTCAGCATTATGTCCACCGATAATAAATAATAGTAAATCTATTTATTATTGATAATAAATCCAGGTTGGATATCTCGTTCTCTGGAGTTAGCCTCGAGATTCAGTGTGAATAACTCTTTTAAATCTATAAATTTATATGGAAAATTGTTCGGTTTTTGGAGCTGATCATCTCTCAGAAATTCGGATAAGAGATTATGTACATTAATTTATGTTAGCTAATGTCACATCTGTCAAATTTTAGCATGCAAACTAATATTATTTTTGTTATACTCTGTTGGGGAATTTGATATTGACAGGTCATCGAGGTGACAAGAGGGACGCAAGAAAGTAACACAAGCTAACTAACTAGTTTGTGTAAATGATTGACAGAACAGGGATTAGGAGAGATAGAAAAAAAAGACAAACTAAACTGATAGCTAGAAAGGGCAGGAGTCATCATCACTCAAGGTCTGAAGGGACAAGTCACATAAAACAACAAGAGCAACAACAATAGCAACAGCAACATCAACTACAATAACAAGAAGGCGACGATGGGGCGGGAGGGGAAGGCGAAGAAGAAGAAGCAGAAGTAAGTAATATAATCGTCTACCGGCCTTAATGTTCAAGAAATCCCACTGAAGAATAATTTCTGCACTCAAGCAGGTTTTGAACCTACATCCACCAAGAACCGGCCTGTAAAAAAGTGAAAAAAATCGACCTGAATATATATATATATATATATATATATATATATATATATATATATATATCGTGATCACAGAAAGACTGTTCGGCTATCAAAGCTCATCAGTTTATATATATATATATATATATATATATATATATATATATATATATATATATTCCTTTTCTACTTATTATCTTCCTCTTTTTTATTTTTTTAAATTTTTAAATTGTAAGTTCCTATTTTATTCCTTGAAACTTCTGAGTTGACAATGTCAGCATAGGATGAGGTAAATTTTGATTTCTATTCTGTGAAAATTATACGCTCTGTTATAATACATATATTGAGCTCTTTTTGTGGATCAGTTTTAATATTATTATTATTATTAAATAATATATATAATAATATTATTAGTATTTAATTGGATTTTCCACCAACGTATTAACGTATTATTATATATATATATATATATATATATATATATATATATATATATATATATATTGCAGAAAATTAAGCATTTAAGTCAAGTAGGCTATGAAGTAGACTCCTCAATATGGAATATAGAGACAGAGGGCGTTAATAGAATTAATATGGAAAATGTTTTTCACTTAAGTCATGTACGTCTAATATTTAGTAAAGTGTGAAGAGTTAGACACATTTACTGTTTCCTTTTCAAAATAATTATTGAATTTACTTTGTATATCATTACAAGACTCCACTACATCAACAGTTGCAGAATAGATTGTGCTGCATTTAAAATTTGCTTAACATCAATTATGATTTAAAAAAAAAATAGAATCGGATTTAATTTAATTTTGTGTCGGAAGTTAAATCTTATATTTATATATTAACTCCAGCCATACACCTCATATATATATATATATATATATATATATATATATATATATATATATATATATATATATATATATATATATATTTTCAAAATAAATACATTTTCTAAATAAATAATTATATATATATATATATATATATATATATATATATAGTTGTATATTTAGGCAGCAATCCTTCGTTTATGCCTGTTTCATTAAAAACGACAGACAAGGTACTACTATTAAGCTTTTTATTTAATTTTTCTTGTGTTCTAACAAGAGCTTTGTTTTCTGGACAAAGAGTGTGTAAGAATTATCCAAATGTTTTATATTTCCGAGCGCTTTCGACTATACCTTTAGTCATTATCAAGGATGATTCAATTTTTCAGTTTAATTGAGTGTGTGCATTATGTGTATGTTTTAGTGGGTTATAGAGATGTTTTTAATTTCCGAATACGGTTAGCACATTTTGGCCTTGTTCGTAGTTAATATTGTTAAGAGTTGTTTTTTTTTCTTTTTTTATTATTAAAGCTCTAATAATAAACATATTGTCAGCAATTATTTAATATTTTGGAGACTTTTAGGTTTGAAGAACCTTTATGAAATTTGCATTTTTGTCTCTAGATTCTTAAGTTTACTACATTAAACAAAAAAATTAATTAATTGACGTATGACCCAAACTCAAATAAATACATAAAATAAAAATATCTAGTGAAATATCAATTAAGGAAAGTAAAACTTTTGATATTTTGAAGGGATGATTTGCAAACACGTTAATGATGAAACTGAACTGAATTAAATGTGAAATAATTGCAGTGCGTCAGACGACGCGTAAATTGCGTGACATTTTTAAGGATTATGTCATGTATACATTCCCATACGCAGAAATTAGGGACTTTTTTTCACTAAAAATTATTTAAAAAACCTTTTTTTTTACTATTCGGTTACAAACGACTGTTATGAAAATGTACTTTTAACTTAACGATATCACCAATTCGTCGTCTTGAAATCAATGAAGATTTTTTAAAATGATTTTTTAATTATTAATTTATAATAAATAATTTGTTTTTAAATGAAATATTCTTGTAAAAATTAATTAATCATCGAAACATTTTATTTCTTTGGACAATCATTTCCTTAATATAATTTATTTACAAAAGCAATTAAAAGCTTTTCTAATTAAATAAGGTCCAAATTATATTGCAGTTTTCATTTTATAATTCAGAGAAGATTTCTGATCAAAAAAACAATAACAAAATATTTTGGTCTTTCCTCTTAATAATAACGTAAAAATTTTGTTGACAAATCTTTGTTTTTATTGAGTTTAGAGCCATTTCATCATGCTATGCTGTTTTTTCATGCGACCAAGTGGAGGTACCTATATAAAGGATGTTCGAATAACTTTAATTATGAATTAATTTTAAGCGTGTAATGATTATTTTCTTTTTCTTTCAGATTTAGCGGACATTTGGGTAATGTTTTTTTCACCCATAATTGCCATGACGTTCATAACATGATGCAATAGAGAAATAAATATATATATATTTTTTTTATACCAACAACACTGATTTATTTACTGCTGACTTTGATCCGTTTTAAGGAAACACCCTGATATATAATCCGTCTTAATGAAACACATTATATATATATATATATATATATATATATATATATATATATATATATATATATATATATATATATATATATATATATATAAGCAAGTGTAAATGGATATAAATCCGACAGAATGTAGAAATTTTGAAAAACAAACAAAATCCATAAATGTAGTTAAAATGAAAAAATTGTCGACGTCAGACGTTTCTGTTTTAATAAACCATTTTCAAGACAAAATTCATTAAAATACAAATTCAGTTCAATATGATATTGAACATAAAAACACAATTTTAAAGAATTTTCAGTTATTGAAAAAATGGTTTATTAAACCGAAACGTCTGACGTCGACAATTCTTTCATTTTAACTACATTTATGGATTTTTGTTTGTTTTTCAAAATTTCTATATATATATATATATATGTGTGTGTGTGTGTGTGTGTGTGTGTGTGTGTGTGTGTGTGTGTGTGTAACTTTTCTAATTTTAACGTCAGTCATTTGATACTAATATAACTTCTTCCAATTTTCTTGAAAATTACTGTTGCAGATACCTCTAAATTTTCCCTTCAGTATTGATACATTGACAGATGTCAACAGAGTGAGATACACAGAGAGATGTAGTTAAAATCAGACTGAGATAGATAGATAGATAGATAGATAGATAGATAGATAGATAGATAGATAGATGCGAATGTATACCTCTATAGCCCTTATTCTGACTCCCTCATTTCTATCAAGTTCGGTTTTTCATATCTATCTATCTATCTATCTGTTCACATCTATCTATCTATCTATCTATCTATCTGATTGTGTCTATCTGCATAAACTGATATAGAAAGAAAAATTATCCTTCTTTTACCATCACATACTCATGCACGCACGCACACACACGCGCACACCAACACACACACACACACACACACACACACACATATACATACATATACAATGCATACTTTTTGATCGAGTATGACCCCTCCCTTTTTTGTTCCTCTTCCAACATAGCTCCAAACCCATAAATCCTCTTACCCGCTCTTTTACTCGATCGCCCATGGGTCTTTCCAGTCCGCTTACGTAATGTCAAAAGGAAAGTCGCCATCAGCGTGTTACGTGAGCTGTTTCTGCAACTGGAAGAACCGCAGAGACCTGACGAATTCTATCGAGGAAAGGAACGACATTCTTTCACGTCTTGGTGCTTAAGGTCTTTGGAAATAATAAGAGGCCTCGATAAAGTGAAGAGGAAAATGGAGGCGATGAGGGTATGGATGTTGATGAAGCTCGTCCGACTGGTTACGAGATTTCTGCAGCTGAGGGTGACAGAGATGATCCCTGAGATAACGCAAGTGAACACAATGATGATGTACATGTAACGCTTGACGGCCAGAAAAGATGCGTGCGTAATTATTATGAAAATCTTGGCATATCATTATTATTATTATTATTATTATTATTATTATTATTATTATTATTATTATTATTATTGTTGTTGTTGTTTTTAGTTTTTTTGTTTTGTTTTGTTTTTTGTTATTCTTTCTGTGATTGTCGTTGCTATTGCTGGTGTTGTTAAAAGTTTGAGTTATTTTGTGGCCTAACATAAATTTGAGGTGTCTGCGCAATTTCATGGCAAACTAAATGACTTTCCAGGTGTCTATTTTGATGTTTCTTTCATATTCCTTTATATTTCCTTCCTTTCTTTTATGCTTTACTTACTTTTTTTTTTCTAATTATTTTTCCTCTTTCTTCCAGTCTTGTCTTTTCCAGTATGTTTATTATGTCTTTCTTTCCTCCTTCCACATCGTTCTCACTTTTCTCCTTTTTTTCGTTCGTTTCATCTTATTCTTCTTTATCTCTTCATTTCTTTCTTTTTTTATCTTCCCCTTTCTTTCTTTCTTTTTTCTTTCTTTCTTTCTTTCTTTCTTTCTTTCTTTCTTTCTCTCTTTCTTTCTTTGTGCCTTATATATTTTTATACCTATATTCTTTTCTCTCTCTTTCTTTGTGTTTCATTCATTCATTCATTTATTCATGTATTCATTATCGTCTTTCCTCCTTATTTTTCTTTATTTTTCTACAATTCATTCTTTTTTACATTCCCTTTCTTTCCTTCTTTTCTTTCTGCATTTCTGTGTGTATCTCTTTTATTTCATTCTTTGTGATTTATCTCGTTATTTATTTTAAAATTATTTCTTTTATTATATATTTCTTTCTTTCTTCCTAACTTTTTTCTATATTTCTTCCTTGTTCGCAGAATATCATTCATTACAAATATTTAATTTCTTGTCCCTGTCATTGGTTGAAACATTTATCTAACTTTCATATTTTGTTGATAAATTTGTCTTTCGTTTGTCTCTTGTTGATATATTTGTTTTAATTTTTGGCTTTTGTTGAAGCATTTGTCTTTCTTTTGACGTATGTTGAAATGTTTGTACTTCTTTCTTTGGGCTTTAGTTGATACATCGGTCTTTCTTTTGACTGTTGTTGATAGACTTGTCTTTCTATTGTCTCTTGTTTATAAATTTCTCTTTCTTTTGTCTATTGTTAATACATTTCTCTTTCTTTTGGCTTTTGTTGATACATTGTTCTTTTTATCTTTTGTTGATACATTTGTCTTTCTTTTGTTTCTCGGTGATACATTAGTCTTTTGTCTTTTGTTGATAAATTTGATTTTTCTTTTGTCTCTTGTTGATATATTTGACTTTTTGCTTTTTGTTGATACATTTGCCTTTCTTTTGTCTTTTCTTAATACATCTGTCTTTTTTTTTTGTCTCTTGTTGATATATTACAATTTTTTGGACTTTGTTGATACATTTGTCATTCTTATGTCTTTTTTTGATATATTTGTCTTACTTTTGTTTCTTATTGATACCTTTGGTTTTCTTATTTAATCCATATATTCTTCCATTTCTATGCTGCCTTTATTCCTCTGATGTTTTCTTCTTTCTTTCGTTTTTCTTTCATTTTGTCTTTCGTTATTTTATTCGAATAATTTATCTCATTCTTTCCCCTCTTGGTCTTTCACTGATGATTACATTCATTCTATGTCATGTAATCTTTCTTTCATGCTTTCTTTATTCGCTCTGGTCTTTTATTTATTTATTTATTTAATTATTAATTCATTTAATTCTCTTTTTATCATGTCTTCTTTTTTGCATGTATTGTAATCTTCTTTCATTATCTCTTTCTATTTTCTTCCTTTCATAAGTTTCTTACATTTCTTTTTTGTTTCTTTGTTTCATTCTTGCCTGCAGATTATCATTCATTCTGAGTTGCATACTTATATATATATATATATATATATATATATATATATATATATATATATATATATATATTCTGTATTCTGTGTATATATATATGTGTGTGTGTGTATGTATGTGTGTGCGTCTGTGTATATATATGTATGTGTGTGTGTGTGTGTGTGTTTGTGTGTGTGTGTGTGTGTGTGTGTTCGTGTGTGTGTGTGTATGGTTAAGTCCCTAGTTAAAAATGCTCTTCCAATGAAAAATTTTATTCAAAATGAGATATATCTAAAAGATATTTTTTTTATGTAATTTGCAATAAATATATGTAAGAATACATTTAGAAAGAATTATATTAAAAATAATAAATATATTTAAAAATAAAGATAATTCATCTAAAGATACATATATATATTACAGTTAAAGATAAGTAATATATATATGTATATATATTATATATATATAAATAAATATATAAACTAAAAAACAATATATATATATTGTTTTTTTTTTTCAAATAACTTTGTATTGTTAGTTTTATTTATTATTACTTGCGTTACTTATCTTTAAAGTCAAAAATGTATAATTTATTTTATCTTGTTATATTTTTTTGTTTTAAAACTATGTCATTCTCATTCAACCCCCACCATATGAGGTAAATTCAGATTTTATATTACTATGATCTATGATTATATACTAACGGCTTTATTACCCGTACTATATATATATATATATATATATATATATATATATATATATATATATATATATATATATATATAATAAGCAAGAGAGGGAGACAGTCATATATATATATATATATATATATATAGAGAGAGAGAGAGAGAGAGAGAGAGAGAGAGAGAGATAGAGAGAGAGAGAGAGGTACAGGTTCAGATCTGTGGTAATAATCCAAGTGAATCCTAGTAATATAAAATATTAAAACGGATCCAGAGAAGAGAACTCAATGTATTGGTTACAGAGCATATATGAATTACATGTAAATTAAATTCAAGATCCCATACGATATATGGCCATTTCATCCACAACGGTCTTCTCAACAGCAAGGATTTAGATAAAACAAATGAATCATAATGTTTTTGTAAATAGAATGAAAGAGGAAGAAAATTTACAACTAAGAAAAATGTATTTATAATGGAAGGGGGAAAGAAAAATAAAGAAAGTTAAAAAAGAAGAGGGAGGGGGATAGAGTAAATGATTAGTAAGGAGAGAAATCAAGATGAAATATTTACAAATTCGCCAAGACATAAGCTGACCTTGACCTATTTTTAAATCTAACTCTTCTTCAAAATGAGAAATTACATAATTACAATCTTTAAAATTTCTAAAACGATTTTTTTTTAGATAATATAAAGGATATTTTAATGTTTAATATATATTTTAATACTTTAAAATAGATGTTTTATAATAAGGGCTAATTAAAATGTTTTAATTAAAAACAAATTTAGTATGTTGAACACAGAATATGAATATTAATTGAATAATGAAATCTTAAAAAGAATAAATAAATAGACAAAACAGAAGAATATTCGTATTAATTTCGCATTAAATAAATATTAGATAATTTTTAAACATATGTATGAAAAAAGAAATATACGAATATATATATATATATATATATATATATATATATATATATATATATATATATATAGCGGTATTTTGTAATGATGTTTCTGTAGGGAATGTTTTATATAATTTAATATTAGCGATTCCACCCGAGACTGCGATTTGGTTTCTGCATATACATACATATATATATATATATATATATATATATATATATATATATATATATATTGACCTCTATATAAATGATGAGACGTTAAAAAGTCTCAAAATATTTACCCCCCCACCCAATCTTTTTAATAACTTACTGCTGCATTATTTCTATGCTGCCAATATGCAGCGTTCTACTTCCTGGGAGGTTATCATGCGTCTAGCACCATGGAGTCTGCAGTTGGTATTCACCCATGTTTTATCTCTTGTGACGGCTATATAATGGATTTGTTTATGTCACCTTTATTATTAATGTTATTGTTTTTGTTATCAAACTAATTGTTTATAGCGACAGAAAGAGATGTCAATATTTAAATATTTTCCGATCTTTTCATTATCCTTCTATTTTAATCTACTTACTGCTGAAACTACAAAAATCCACTACCTCGCCATATCTCCTTCCCTTTCAGCTCGCGCGATCTAGACTCACCGTACCGGAGAATCATGTTCTGATTTCGGTATATACATGGACACAGAGTTTAGAGGCTCTTGTAACATATCAAATGCGATGGACAGAACTCATAATTCGAATGAAAGAAAAGTAGACTCCGGAAACAATATTTACATTATTCGGACTATTGTCCTCATCTTTGTCGCCATATTAATCACAACGTTTCGGATCCTTCAGTATCTGTCTATATTTCTGAGATGAAGTATCATATACACTATTTACATTATTCCGACTATTGTCCTCATCATTGTCTCAACATTTATCACAACGTTTCGGCTGTTATAGGCTCCGGCCTTCTTCAGGTGGTTGGAATGTCGAACTGAACCCTTTATTTCGCTCACTGAGGTAGACTGTTCTAGTTACACGCGCCATGTCTAATGGATGTCAGTTATCAGTTATCTCCTGTTAATTCCCCTCTCCAATGCCTTAACCGGGTATTAAACTTTCGGTCTTGTCACTGAATCTAACCAACACCTTTATCCACTGCGCTATGTATCCTTGAGGAATGTAAATAGTGTACATAATACCTCATCTTGGAAATATAGATAGATCGGGAAACAATGTTTTTTAAGGTGTGTTGAATATCGGAACGCATCCTCAGCACAAACCAGAAAAAGATAAAAGGACTGTATCAAGAACAACCTAAAAAGCTGGCGTTTGACATCAACAATTGGGAGAAGATGACCCTAGATAGAACTGGATGTAGAGGGTAAATAAGAGACGGTTGTCAAGCCTTCGAAGAATCTTGTGTGGAATACAAACGGCTTAAGCGGCAACTTGGAATGGATGATAACCATGGACTTGACAAGGGCAGCAAGGGCTGAATATGTGATTCCTGTTAGCGCATACTTCTTTCAAAGGCTGGCTGGTAGGATCATGTGAAGTGACATAAAGAAAACAATCACCATTAACATTGCCCAGACACAGAGTATTACAGTCTGCACGGTGTGTGACAAGATATGCAAAATCACCTTCGGACGGAAAAAAAATCACATGGTGGTGCACAGGAATCAGACACAGACGCGTGAATTCATCAAGGTTGTGGCAACTACCTTGTTCGTCTGTCACTTGTGTAACAAGACATGCATCTGAAGACTGCTGCCTTTACTAAAAGTGTTTGTTAAAATATGAGAATGGAATAAGCTAAATATTTATTTTTGTGTTTGTGGCGGTTTTCTTGCACAAAACAAGACAACAACGTTTCTGCTGTACATTTGTGACATTGTAATTTAAAAAGAGACGACTGCGAATGGGTGATAACCAAGGACTTGACGAGGGTATCAAGGGCTGTCAGCGCTTACTTCTTTCAAATGATGGCTGGTTGAATCATGGGAAGTCACATAAAGAAAAAATCGCCCTTGACTTTGCCTAGACACAGAATGGCACAGCCTGCATGTTTTGTGACAAGATATGAAAAAACAGACACATGGTGATGCACTGGAATCAGGCACTGCGGTTTGAATCCATCAAGGTTGTGGCAAGCACATTGTTCGTCTGTCACTTGTATAACAAGTCAGACAAATCCGCAGCCGTCCTGGCAAGTCACATTCGGGGTCATGCACGTGCGAGGTGGGGAGCGAATGTGGTTAGGCGGCCATCATCTCTGAAGATGCGACGGATCATCATCATATACAAGTGACGCTTTGAAAGTAATGATTTTTTTATTTATTTATGTGGATAATGCAAAA